ACGGAGTCTAAGATTTTTCTTTCTTGGATATTGAATGGAGACTCACCTGACACATGGTACACTTGAACAATTTCCACTCAGTTCTGTTGGTTTTATTTCTGAGCAAATAAGAATTTGGCGGGATATGAATGAAAAACTGGCTCCAACTCTCCCAAACAAGTTCAGTGCCTGCAATGCTAGGCTGTGGTCACTAGATGGCAGTATGGTGATGTGCAGTAAAATTAACCCACCCTATGATATGCACAGTTTGGTTTTTCCTTTAAATGACACCATATTTTTCCTATTAATGTTTCATTTTACATAATTAGAACTTTGGAAGCTAATTAAAATAGATACCAGAAACCTCAATCAGCAACAAATTGCATACTTATCAGAAGCCAAATAGTTTGGTGCTTAATGCTTCAGAGATATGACATTTGAGCAGTATTAGAGCCGCCAATGCTACCGCCTGACAGATGGGGTTTGGTGCTCCAATCACAAAAGAGGTGTCATATTTTAAGACTCATCAGTAGCTGTAAAATGCAAGGATCCAAAAGAACGACTCTCTCCTGCATGGTGTATATTCCAGTTATCACAGCATAAGAATGGGGAACTTATAGTCCAGGGGTCTCCAACCTTGGCAGCTTTAAGCCTTGGGGGACTTCAACTCCTTTGCTGGCTGGGGAATTCTGGGAGTTGAAGTCCCCCCAAGGCTTAAAGTTGCCAAGGTTGGAGACCCCTGCTATCGTCTCCAGATTAGGCTGGCCTGCCTGTTCCAGCTGCATAAGAACATCAAATTAACATATATATTTTTCTATCTGCAGTTCAGATTAGTGGAAGCTAATTAGTGGAAGTTATTTTGTCTGTTTCAAAAGAGCAAAAACGACAACTCACCAATATTTGGGTGCTCAAGTGAATATGAAGGAATGGAACTGACCTCTCCATTCTATGTGTTACTTCCAGGAGAGACAAACCGCTAGGGATGTCCACAAGAGGGGTCAAAAAGAGTCAGGTGGCACCCCAACCGATCGATCGGAGCCCCGCCCCCTTTTTAAAAATGTAGACCCAGAAACCATGGCGCCTATCCAATTTGATTTCAGCTTCCAGTTCTTTTTTAATGGGAAGTTAGCATTGCATTATTATCCCAAAGGTGCTTTTTCGGGCAGCAATTGGACTTCCTTGTTTTGTCTTTTGAAGACGTTTCGCTTCTCATCCAAGAAGCTTCTTCGCCTCTGACTAAACGGTGGGGAATGGAAGGATTGATATCCTACAGGGCTCCAGGAGGTGATCCTGAGGACACAGATACATTTCCAAGTGCTTCAACGACCTTCTAAAACCATGAGGGCGAGCCTATGGCATGCGAGCTGCACTACCTGCACTGCGCATGGGCGCACCTCCAAGTTGATTTTCAGCCCATTGGAGGATGTTTTCACCCTCCCAGAGGATTGAAGGAAGCCTCTGCAGCCTCGGGAGGCTGAAAAACGGGCCTTCCGGAAATACCAGGAGTGCCAAAACGGGCCTGTTTTTCAGCCCCCCGAGGCTGCAGAGGCTTCCCTCAAGCTTTCAGGAGAGCGAAAACAGCCGAAAACAGGCCAAAAATCAGCTGGGAGGTGCGCAGATGTGCAGCGCAGGTAAGGAAGCAGAGGTGTTGCATGCGCAGGCGGGGCAGGGCGCATTGCATTGTGGGTGCTGGCATGCGCACACTTTTGGCACACCACAAGAAGGTTCGCCATCACTGCCTCTAAAAGGGTGCAAATGACCAGCAAGGAGTATCAATCCTTCCGTTCCCCACCATCCATCCAGTCAGAGTTGAAGAAGCTTCTTGGAGGCGAAGCAAAATGTCTTCAAAAGAAAAAACAAGAAAGTCCAATTGCCTCCTGAAAGTGTCCCTTTGGGTCCCTGGATGACCCAGAACCTCTACAGACCATGGCATTATTATTTCCCCAAATGCTGTGACCTCAGCAACACCCCATAAGCATCCTAGAGGGGAACGACGCTAGCGGCCCCTGCACCTCAGTGCCTGGCTGGGAAAGCGGCCTACTTGCCCCAAAAGATACAAAGACCCGGAAAAGCAAAGTTAGGAGAGTAAGGAGCACCCAGTTTCCTCTCTATCTGCTTTGTGACTTTAGCCGCTGTGTCGGACCTCATCAAACAATTTGAAGACTGGCAAACCCCAATTATTGGTTTCATCACCATCAGAGTCATCCACAATAATTTGGAACGATGGATCCTTCTCTATTCACCTACATCAGTTCTACAGCATAATTCTAATTTCTGTTGCTAAATGAGACGGTTGCTAAATGAATTTTGCCCCATCTTCAGACCTTTCTTGCCACCGTTGTTAAGCGAAACACTGCGGTGGTTCAGTTAGTAATATGATTATTCAGTGGAACAGGCGTCCCCGTTGACTTTGCTTTTCAAAAGATCGCAAACGGGAACTCTGGGACGCCGCAACTGTCAAAAGTACATGTCAGTTGCCAAGCATCTGAATTTTGATCACGTGATCATGGAGATGTGTGAAAAATGGTCATGAGTCACTTTTTTCAATGCCGTTGTAAGTTTGAATGGTCACTAACTGAACTAATAAATCAAGGACTACTTGTACCATATAACTGCCCCTAAGCTCTGGAGGACACAAGATTTAGCACATTTTTAATGTATCCCACATAGGAGTTCTTGAATGCATACCCCAAAACTCTCACATGCTACGATTGTGCCTTTGCAGAGAAGGGTCTATGGGAACCCTCGCCCTATGAACTGCGGGAGCCACCTTTTCCAAGCTCATTTAATGAAGTACCCAGGTAATTCTGATTTATTCTATGTACAGTTCTTCTCAAACCAGTATGATTCCATTTCTATGAACACGGCCAAATTTTGTGATGCTGCTCTGTAAAACTTAACCTTGCTTAATTGCCTCAGTGGCCTAACAATGATCTATTTCTTTCCATACGCTGATGTGTGTTGCCTTTGGGTCAGTGACCACAATATACACACACATATGTGGGAATATCACAGCCATTTTGTAAGCAAGGCCACAAAATGCTCTCCAAAGAACAAATGTGCCACAAGCCAAAGGAAGAAAGAAAAAGAGAGAGAGAAAGAGAGGAAAGAAAGAGAGAGAAATGGAGAGAAGGAAGAGCCAAAAGATTTCAGCCCATGACTTGTGGCAGTGCAATCATTACAAAGGCCAATTCTACCTTAAATGATCAAGTGCACAAGTGTCATCTCTGCTAACTCCCATTTTGAAAAGGGGGATCATGAAAGCCAGTGCCATTCTCGGAGTGTACACCTATCTGGAAGATGAAAGGATCCGAACCCAGGATCTAAATCCACCCAGTAATTATTTCCAATGGTCAGATTGACCCAGATTCTTTGTGGATTAATTCTGACTTTGGCAATCCTAAACTAACCATATCCCCCGTTTGGCCTTGAGAGGCCTCCGTGACCAGCTTTTTCTCCTACCTGTGTCAGGAAAGGTTGCCAAAGATACAGGTAAAACCTCAGGTTACAACAGCAATCTGTCCCTTGGTGATGCTGTCATGAATCATGGCACTACACGACCGCTTTGCTTAGTGAAAGGCAGTTCTGGCACTTCCTGGTTGCCATCCTAACCCGAGGATCGCGCAGATCGTTAAGGGGGAGTCCCAGGCAAGCAGCCATTTGGGCATGTAGGCAGAGGCCGCAGGTGGGCACTCTGGAGTGCAGGCAGGTGCTATGGGTTGCAAACTCTCCAACCTTGGCAACTTTAAGCCTGGCGGACTTCAACTCCCAGAATTCTGGGAGTTGAAGTCCACCAGGCTTAAAGTTGCCAAGATTGGAGGCCCCTGCTATAAGGGGTGGAGGTAGCTGCAGGCCAGACTATGGCCCGTGCATGGATGCCACAGGTAGGAATGCGCAACGGAGCACAGGAGCAGCGAGAGCAACCTCGTGGCAGCTCCCCCCATTGGCTTTGCTCGTAGAAAGTCCGCAGGGAGCGTCGAAAATCACCACCACTGGGACTTGCCGCAATGTCGTTGCACCACAAGCCAAGCCCCGAGCCCCCAGATGACAAGACCCCCACAGGGGTCGGAGGGTCTGGGGGCGCGAAGGCCCGACCCTCCTGCTGAGCCCAAGCTGCGTCCTCCTCTTCATCCAGGCGCTTCTTCGGGGAGAGGCGGGGTCCCCCCCCCAGCCCCCGAGAGAGTGCTGGTTCCGAGCTGTGGCGAAAGGCCCGGCCGGTCCCGGGCCACGGGGGTGGGTGGGGGGCTGGTGCCGGGCGTCTGAAGCGGAGGTTCCCGGGCGCGCCGAGGCGACTGGCTGGAAAGTCGGGGTCTCTTTCAAAGTCGGTTTTTATTCAAAGGGAAGGAAACCGGGGAGGGTCCAGGAACCACCTGACAGCAGGCTGGCCTTTTCTCGGGGTGAGAGACCCCCTCCCTCCGCTCCGAGGGGCGGGCTGAGCCTCTGGGGTCCCTTGGGGAGCCGCCCAAGGCCGGCTGGGGCCAGTGGCCGGGGCCCCCGCCTTTAAAGTGCTGTGCTGCATCAACCGGTTATGCGGGTTGGGGGTTGGGGGGGTTGGGTTGGAGGAAACGGAGCCCGAAAGAAATCGGTTTTAAAAAAAACACACACCTGGAGACAGGTGGGAGCGAGGAAGGAGGGAAACGCAACCGCGCTTCTAGCCATTGCACGTCGCCCCTCGGAGGGGAGCCCTCCACGACGATGGCGCAGCGGGCGGAGGGGTCCGAGGGACAGAGAGAGACCCTCCCCACGCCCCCTCCCCTCCCCCGGGAGCCAGCTGGGTCTGCCCTTCTCCCTGCCCCGCCTCGGCCCTTCGGCAGTCTGGCTCGCCTTCCAGGTCCCGATCCAATCCGGCGCAGCTTCTATTTACACGACCGGGAAGAAGCCGCCCCCTCGCTTGCCTCGCGCTCCTCCTCCTCGGTCTATTTACACGAGTCTCTGCTGGATTCGGACCGGCCTGGTGGAGTCTCGCTGACGGCCCTCCCCGTCCGGAGAGGAGGGGAGGGGAGCCGGGCGGGTGGCGGGTCTCACTGGGGCAACAAGGGCGGCTTGAAGGAGCAGTTGCCCGCGCAGTGGCGAGGAGTCAGCATCTTGCAGGAAAAATGGTGCAGCGCATCGTGGGCCTCTGCGGGGGAAGCGACAGAGAAGAGGGGCCGTCACTCCCCGCGGCAGGGAGCCCCCACTTCTCCAAACCCCCCCCCCCAGCCCGGGAGGAGGCCCTCCCAGCAAGGGACTCGCCCCCTGCCCGCCTCCCGCCTCCCCAGGCCGAGCCTCCTTCCAAACGAGCGCAACTTCCAGTAGGACCGCGAAAGGAGGAGAGGATCCGGCTAATGCCCGGGGTCTCCTAGGGGCGGCTCATCCAGGCCCTAACGAGGTCGGCTTCCAAGATCAGCGCCCTGCAGGCTTGTCTCAGGCCAGGGCCCCCCAAAAGCCAAGGTGACCATTTTGCCCGTATCCTGCGGCCACCCTGCAACGGCCGAGAGCCGCTCCTTCAACGTCCCGGGAACAGGAGTCGTCTCCTGCTTTGTAAAGTTGGGCCGAGCGCTCTCCTCCTTCCCAAGTGCTGCGGGGCGCCCCTCCGGGCAACTGGGGCGGAGGAGGGAGGGGTACAAAAGGCGGCAAGGCCGGTTCCGAGGTGGTGGGTTCCAAGGAGAGTAAGCGAAGCCAGAGACCCGGTTAAGGAACCAGAAGCTCTGGCTTCACCTGTCAGGTGGGCCCCCAAAGCGGATCCAGTCGGACCTCCAGCCCCGCATCGGATTGGACAACTTTTCTGCGGGGGGGGGAGTGGGGGCGATGGGGGGGAGAGAGATTCATTAACTGGTCTCCCCCCCCTCCCCAATCTTACACCTGTTTCTGCAGGTCCATAAAGGAGCGAGTTCCTAACTCGGAGTTGAAAGGCGGGGGGTGGGGGGGTGGGGGGGTCTTGGCGCCCTTGGCAGCCTGGTTGTGTTCGAGCCTTGCCCAACTCCGCCGCCCGCGCTTGAGCAGGTGAGTCCAGGTGCGCCAAGGTCCAGGGGGCAAAAGCCTCGCGGCTGCTCAGGGCCGCTTCGTCCTGGCAGCGGGCGCGGATTTCACAGCTACCGTCTTAGGCCGCTTTGCACGGGCGGGAGGGCCAGAAAGGATCGGTGCCGGCCCTGCGAGGCGCCGGGGAAGGACACGCACCTTTGAGCTTCTGCTGAATGGCATAGCGGGCCTTCCGTTCCTGGTCCAGCTCGTTGCACAGGGTATCTGCGGGGACAGGAGGAGCTCGGGCGGGGCTTGCAAGGGCCTCTCTCTGTGCACCCCTCCCCCCCAATTGCCCCCCATCCTCTCCCCCCACCCCTCCGGACCGGCGGGGATGCCCGGCCCGGCCCTGCGCCCTTCCTCACCCCGCACGATCTGCAGCTGCTGCACCATCTCCTCCCGGTAGGCCAGCTCGCGCTTCATCTGGTCCTGGAAGTTATCTGCGGGCAGCGAGGAGGAGGAGGAGGCGATGTCGGGAAGAGGCGGCAGGCAGCCCGGGCAGAGGGAGCCCCCTCCTCCCGCGGCGAATCCGGGTCATCGGAACCCGCGAACCCAGCCACCTGCTACCTGGGAAGCCCAAGCAAGGCCCCCTTTCCCCGCCACTGGATGCCAAAGCCGGGCTGCCTGGAACGACGGCGGACCAGCGCCGGAGCCTGGCCTGCAAAGTTGGCCGCCTGGGGGGGTCTCCCAGCCCCGCCCGCCGCCGGGCGTTGTTTCCCCTCGGTCGGGGCAGCCGGGAACCCACCGGACTGCTTTGCCCTTGAGAGCCGACCCTTTGGTTTCCCGTCCTGGGTGAAAGGCCCGGATCTGCAACCCGGGGCTCCTTTGGGGCGTCCCTGTCCAAGAGGGAAGGGGCGACTCCTTTGCCCCCCCCCTCCTTCCTTTGAAGAGCCGGAAGGGAGGGGCAAAGACCGGTCCGGGGCTTCGGCTCCAAAGCCAACCCAACGGGGGTAGCCAGGATGCTTGAACTGGGTAAGACCCCCTTTTCTGGGCGGCACAGCTCTGGACTTTCTCACCAAGTTTAGAATGACCCGAATTAGAATTCTTCAATTGGCCAAGTGGGAATTGGAGTTGGTCAATTGCACAAGGAATTGGTCTTGGTACAAAGGCTCTCAGTTGAGCAGGTTGCGCTTCGCCCCCGCGTGAAACCCGGGCTTAGCACGTGGGAAGACAGCGCTGGACTGCTGCGGAGTCTCGGGTCATGGGGGGGGTGAGAGGCCCCCTCCGCCTCCATGGCGGGCGAGGGGGGAGCTGGCTGGAGTTTCCTTTTGCTCCCCGCTCTTCGTCTCTTCACCCAGGGAACAAGCAGAGGGCCAAGGCTTTGGAGGCCTTTCTGCCTCGGGGCTTCCTTCCCGGCTGCCCCCTCTCCGAAGACCCCCCTTTTCGCAACCTGGCAGCCAGGATCGGGGCCACCCAGAGCAGCCGTGAGGAGGAGCCATTTGGAAAAAGCTTGAAGCCGCGAAAGGAAGCGGCAGAAGGTACCTTTGAGACTTTGGAATTCTCTTTCCAATTTCTTCCTGAGATCCATCTGCTCCAGGAGGAGTCTGTGCAGCTCGTCTGTTGGCGGAGAGGGGAAAGGAGGAGGAGTGGCGGTTGCGGGGAGGGGGGGGTCAGGGCGAGGGAGCTCTGCTAAGGGGTCCCCGAAATAGAGACCTTCCTTTCCAGGGGCGAAATGCCTTGTCGCCAATTAAAGGGGAAATATAGTGTTCGTTTGCCTATTGACATCTGTATTTGCACCTGCAGAGCCGCAAACACACACACACACACACACACACACACACACACACATGCACACAGAGTCGGCTGACCTCAAAAAGCCAAGCAAGGTTAGAAGGATTTAGGCAAGGATGGGAGACCACCTGTAAATGCTTAGAGCTGCAGGCTGGAAATCAGGGGTCTCTAACCTTGGCCACTTTAAGCCTGGGGAATTATTAGCCAAGCCAGCTGGGAAATTCTGGGAGTTGAAGTCCCCCCAGGCTCAAAGTCGCCAAGGTTGGAGACCCCTGGACTAGATTCTGAAAGAGGGGATCCCCCCCACCCCCCAAAAAAACAGTGTCAGTTCCCTTCCAAATGGTTGAACTGCCAGGAGCCCGACTCTCTCGGAGAGGGACTCTGGAGTAGGACGGCCTCCAGATCAGTGGTTCCCAACCTTTTTTTCACCCCGCACCCCTAAAGAAACTTCACTCGAACCTCGCACCCCCTGAAACTTATATTTTGCTCAGTTAAGTTAATCCATTGCAAAAGAAAATAAAAATGCCAACATATAGCCAATATCCTATTACTTACCTGGATGTTTCTCGCACCGCCCCCCCCGGAATATCATCTCGCACCCCCAGGGGATGCGAGCGCCCCAGGTTGGGAACCCCTGATCTAGAACTTTGTGGGGAAAAAAGAGGTTCTCCTGTTAGGCTTTTGGGGGACTCGTTTTAAACGTGAGCTGTATTCCAGGAAGAAGGAATTGCACCTGGTAGGACAATCCAAACCGCCAAGGCTGCTCCCTCCGGACATTCCTTATTATAACTCCCTCCACAACGCCCCGAGATGCCAACTTCCCTACCACCCTGGAGCTGCAACCCCCAGTGGGACGAACCCCCTCAAGTGCCCCCCCGGAAGCCCATGCAAATCCACATTGCAAGCCACGAAACCCCCATCGTTCCCAGCCCTGGGACTGTGCAAAACACCCCTGGCCCTTTCCCTTTCGCCTAGCCCTCTGGGCTAGCGCCTCTTTTGCAGGAGGGCTGAATGTCAGCCCTCCAAGAATCCTCCTTCGGCTTATTTTTCCGGCTGCGATAGAAAGGTGGGTGGGTGGGGAATAATTGGGGGGGGGGGGGAAGAGTGCTGGAGGTTTAAGTTGGTGAAATGTAAAAATTGGGATGTTTTCTTGACTACGCTGACTTGCTTACTGAGCATATTTAGCCCCTTACCTGTCTCCAGCACTTTCCCCACCACAAAGTCCAGTTATTCTCCCCCCCCCCCATTTCTACGGCAGCCGGAAGCAGAAGA